TAGAGACGGGGTTTTATCCTGATGGTCAAGCTGGTCTTGAATTCCTGACCTCAGGTGATCTGCCTGCCTCAGCCTCCCAAAGTGCTGGGATTACAGGCACGAGTTTCAACTTTATGATGGTGAGAAGGCCATACACTTTTAGTAGAAACAGTACTCCAAGCACCCATACAACTATTCTGCTTTTCACTTTCAGTTTTCAATAAATTATGTGAGATATTCAACACATTATAAAATAGGCATTCTATTAGATGCTTTTGTCCAACTGTAGGCTAATTTAAGTGTTCTGAGCACATGTAAGGTAGGCTATGATGTTCAGGTTAGGTGTATATATTAAATGCATTTTCAACTTATGATATTTTCTATTTACAATGAGTTTATCAGGATGTAAAACCATTATAACCCAAGGAACATGTATATTACCTAATCTATCATTTTCTGAACATCTCGAGTCACCACAACAAGGATTCATTTTCAGAAGTTTAATCCTCTAATCCACAAAATGAAAGTGTGTACAGTTATCAGAAAAATAACACTTCATATCTTTAGTAAGAGTACAAATTGGTAGAATATTTTTAAGGGCAAATTTCACAATATTTACTGAAAGTTTATGAGCAAATATCCTTTAGCCCAGCAATACCACTTCCAGGAAATAACCTGTAGATATTCTCACAGAAGCAAGCAAAAATACATGCAGAAACACTACTATTATAGTTTAAAAAAAAAAAAAGGGGGGGGGCGAAGAGGGGTGAGTTTCCTTAATAAACCTATTATACACCTCTACAATGGAATATTTATAAAATTAAAAATAAAGACACAGTTACAAACGAACTGATATGGAAAGTTTAAGAATGGCATGAAGAAAAGAAAGCTATTCACAGAACAGAATATAATTGTTCTATTTGTGTGAAGAAAGTATGTATGAAGAGAAAATATCTAGAAAAAAATATAGTAAGCCATGAATAGTAGCTAATTCTGGAGAATGGGGCTCAGGAGAAGAAACAATAAATTTTCACTTTTTGTTTTATATATATGTGTGTGTGCATACATACATACATGCCTTCTAAAAACATAACCAGTTTATTAAATTTACATTAATAAAGAAAACAGTATAGCAAAGGCTTTTAACCTTAGAAGAATATAATTGATCTTGATTATCCACAGCACAAGAAATATGAGCTATTAAAAGTGCATAATGAGAAACTTATACATTCAACTATTTATGGAACATTTACTACGTGTCAAGCATTATGCCTAATACTGACATAATGGTGAACCAGAAAGACCTAGTCCTTGCTCCCAAGGAACTTACAGAAAGGTCTTTTGGACTCCAGTGTTTCTGTCTTCCCTGTAAGAACCACTCTAACTTACAAGTGTGTGCTCTCACTGTGACTATTATATTTATGGCTTCCATAAGACAGATATTAATAGAATCACTATATCAAACAAAAAGAAACCTTAAAATGATTAACCCCTGTTTCCTCTGTAATAATAAAAATTATTATTATTATTATTTTGAGATGGAGTCTCACTCTGTCTCCCAGGCTGGAGTGCAGTGGCACAATCTTGGCTCACTGCAACCTTCACCTCCAGCGTTCAAGCAATTCTCCTGCCTCTGCCTCCCAAGCAGCTGGGATTACAGGCGCCTGCCACCATGCCCGGCTAATTGTTGTATTTTTAGTAGAGATGGGGTTTTACCATGCTGGCCAGGCTGGTCTCGAACTCCTGACCTCAGGCAATCTGCCTGCCTCAGCCTCCCAAAGTGCTAGGATTACAGGTGTGAGCCACGACACCCGGCCCACAGTTACTTTTTAAAGTTGTTAGAAGCACAATCTGTGGAAAGAACAATTCAACAAGCACTCTTTTAAATAAATAAGAAGTAACCTAGTTGGCTAGGCACAGTGGCTCATGCCTGTAATTCCAATACTTTGGGAGGCAGAGGCAGGTGGATCACCTGAGGTCAGGAGTTTGAGACCAGCCTGAACAACATGGTGAAACCCCATCTCTACTAAAAATACAAAAATCAGCCAGACGTGGTGGCAGGTACCTGTAATCCCAGCTACTCAGGAGGCTGAGGCAGGAGAATCACTTGAACTCAGGAAGCAGAGGTTGCAGTGAGCTGAGACCCCGCCACTGCACTCCAACCTGGGTGACAGAGTGAGACACTCTCTCTCTCAAAAAAAAAATAGTAACCTAAATGTTAAACGAAGTTTAAGAGAAATTAGCTAACAACATTGAAAAAGGAAAAAAAATTATAGGAAATTTTTATTTTATTTTCCTCACTAATTTACTTAATTTTTCTACAATGAATATGTAATATATTAAGAAGGTAAAAGTTATTATTCAAAAGAATCCTCTAATGGCAACAACAGATCAGCTACTGTATAAAATCCAACTCCTTTACCCACTATACCCGGCTCTTTATGTTCTGGCCTTGCTGAGACTCCTTGTGTCAGCCCGGAGCCCACTTCTCTTTATGCTGGCAAACAGCATCCCAGGACTTTCCTCTGGGAAGTCCTGCTCCTTACCACTTAGGCTAGGCCTAGCGTCCAGTTTTTGCCAGTCATTGCTTTCTATCCCCTTGACTACCACAGTTCAGGGGTAAATACTCAACCCTAACAGACCAAAATCAAAATCAATCCTGAAAAGAGACTAACTTTAATGAAACCATTAAATTGATTATAATTAAGTGACAGGTAATACAGCTAAAAATCCTTTTAAAAACTTTGTAATAGGCCGGGCGCGGTGGCTCAAGCCTGTAATCCCAGCACTTTGGGAGGCCGAGGCGGGTGGATCACGAGGTCAAGAGATCGAGACCATCCTGGTCAACACGGTGAAACCCCGCCTCTACTAAAACTACAAAAAATTAGCTGGGCATGGTGGTGCGTGCCTGTAATCCCAGCTACTCAGGAGGCTGAGGCAGGAGAATTGCCTGAACCCAGGAGGCGGAGGTTGCGGTGAGCCGAGATTGCGCCATTGCACTCCAGCCTGGGTAACAAGAGCGAAACTCCGTCTCAAAAAAAAATAAATAAAAATAAAAATAAATAAAAAATAAAAATAAAAATAAAAAATAAAAACTTTGTAATAAACGTAATTTTCACTTAATGTGGTCCCTAAATGTTTTGTGTGGCTATTAATTTCAAATCATAAAACTGGAGTGGATAGTCATGTTACCTCTTTTGTTAAAATGCACAATAAAACAACAACAAAATATAATGGCACAGTTTCCATTTCTAGGAAGCTATTAGAACTTCATGATTGCCTCTAAGAATTAGAATGTTAAATTCCTATCAATCACATCCTGTTAAAATACTAAGTATAGAAACAGTAAGAAAATACAGCTCAACCAGGCATATACGTTAGTCACATTTCCTCCGACAAATTTTTTTATAACTTCAAAAATCAAGACTCCTGCAGGAAGTATTTTATATGGAACCTAAAATGCCACAATATATAAGAAAACACTTAAGATGCATCTAACTTTCCAAAACAGTTTGATCAATAAATTATTTTCTTCTCAACTTTAAGAAAGCTATAGAATGTATTTATATATCACAGGAAAATAAAGTTAAATTCAGCGTAAGAAAACAGAAGTTAACCATCAGAATTCCCTAAGACTGAAATAGGCTATTTTGTAAAACAGGGACCTCCTCTTCCTTGGAACTAAGCTAAAACTAAAACTCTGGAATTCTCTGGAAATAAGACATCCTTGAGGAATTCAACTGATGTGCCAGCTGTTTTATTTCTTGAAAGAATATAGCTGAACACATATAATAATCTGTTGCTTTTTTTTTTCTAGTATTACACAATGTTCCTGGCCTACAATGCACATACTGTATCTATTATCATATTTAAGCATCTGACAGCATTGTTATAAGAATCCTTAATATTCATCTCTAATTAAATACATACATAAAATTTTCAGTCTTCAAAAGAGCATAGCTTTCAGTAAAGTATCATATATATTTTTTCCACATAGTCTAAATACAATACATTTCCTGACCTTTTAGCTTTCAGTTTCCTGTTCGTCAGTGGCTACAGCTCTAGAGGCAATACATAAACACATCCCAGCCATGGTATTTCCACTTTTGACAACAGTGGACGTGAACTTAATATGACCAATATAATTATAGTACATATAATGGTATCTGATGGCTAAGACAGCAACAGCAGAAATTCAATTATTTTCAAAATCAGAAATATAAATTATGTTCCATATATAAGAATTCACATAACAAACCTTTTAAAACTTATGACTCAGAAAAAGTGTCTCTCTTGTGAAAAACAGAAAAGGTTTTCTTTATTAGACAATAACTATAAAACCTATCCTGTTTCCTTTTTTCTCTTGCTTGCCAGGAAGCTCAGAGCTAAATTTAATGTTCAAATGCAGAAACAATCTGGCCTCAGATTACTAATGTAAAGATTTCTTCCCATTCCCTCATTCTGCTCATTATTTCTCAAGTGATTTATGCTCATTTTCTACCTTTGTTTTTAATGGTCTTTGCCTGTTTTGTTTTAATCACAAACTATCAAATCCTTTTCAATAAAAAAGTTCATATAAATTATAAATTAAAGAAAACTTAATGACCTTAGTTTGTATCTTCACACCACTGCATAACCTGCTAATGCAATTTACAGAAAATGGAGGTTCTAAAAGGTATCTTTGCTGTTTTAAAGTTAATTATTTCACATGATTCACTTTTAGAAAAGCCAATGACAATTTTTTAAAATAAAAGAATAACAGAATGAAGCAAGGATCAAAACTTAAATTACTAAATTAAAGACACTGAATTAGGAGGATTCCAAATTTTTTAATGTTTTAAATTTACTAACAAAATTGGTCTGGCAAAGCTAGGTAACTATCATAAAAAATAAACTTACATAAAGGGTATTAAATTCTGAGCAGGTAAGATGGCTCACATCTATAGTCCTAACACTTTGAGAGGCCGAGGCGGGTGGATCACTTGAGGTCAGGAGTTCAAAACTAGCCTGGCCAACATGATGAAACTCTGTCTCTACTAAAAATACAAAAAAAAATTAGCCAGGTATGGTGGTAGGCACCTGTAATCCCAGCTACTCAAGAGGCTGAGGCACAAGAATGTCTTGAACCTGGGAGGCGGAAGTTGCTGTGAGCCAAGATTGTGCCACTGCACTCCAGCATGGGCAACAGAGCAAGACTTCATCTCAAAAAACAAAACAAAACAAAACAAAAACCCTCATATACTGCTATCCGTGTCATTAGCTGCAGAGTGGACATCAGGTATAAAAATATTGAAATAGTCTAGGAATCTAAGAAAAAGGGGGAAAACTCAGTCACATGTTTAAAAATTATAAATGCACGCATACACATGAAAATGTTTGTATATGGTTAATACCAAAATTTGTTAAATGGAGATAAAAGGGAGGTATTAATTAAATTAATAAGCCAGGTACAATTACTCTTGCCTGTAATCCCAGCACTTTCCAAGGCCAAAGTGAGACGATCCCTTGAGCCCAGGAGTTTGAGGCCAGCCTGGACAAAATGGTAAAACCCTGTCTCCACAAAAAATGCAAAACTTAGTTGGGCATGGTGATGCACACCTGTAGTCCCAGCTACTTGGGAGGCTGGGGCAGAATGGTTGCTTGAGCCTGGGAGGCAGAGGCTGCAGTGAGCTAAGATCACACTACTACACTCCAGCTTGGGTAACAGAGTGCAACCCTATCTCAAAAAAATAAATAAATAAACAAAAACAATAAAAAGAAAAGAAACTACAATCCAAACTGACACATCTAGCCAAAATCTTAAAAAATATATCATGAATTAAAAAAAATCTAAACACAGTCATATTAAAAATGGAAAAGGGAAATGAATGCATTTTATAACAGAAAAGACAGCCTATAAAGTGCCTAACATTATATGAGAGCTCCCCAATTTTAGAGGACACAAATAAAATGATAATAAATGGAAGGAACAAGACAGCCAAATAGTACCTATAAAATGAAAGTGAAAAAGTCAATTATCCCTTTCTCTCTCAAGATATCAGAATTGCAGGGTTTTCTGCACAAATGGTAGCACCATACCAGAACAAAACAAAACAAAACAAAACAAAACAAAACAAAACAAAACAAAA